TCAAAGTCAAAGTTTCGTATTTCCAGGGTGTACAGACAGGAGCATGCTTTGGGTGGGGGTTAGAAGCTGCCTCAGAGCTGTCCAGCGTTTGGTATTCTTGTTGGTTGAGTACCATTGTAAAAYCGTCTAAGTCTTGATAATGGTGCTGAAGGACAGAAATCTTTGGACTTTGCTTTGGTTCCTTTGAACGTCCAGCTTCAGGACTTTGATCAGACTTGCCCTCTAAGGGTTTGGCATAAGGATGGGTTTCTTTTGGCGAAGGTGACTCGAATGTCTCAGGTATATGCTCGTAAATAACATTGCCTGGCTTGATGGCTATGACCTCAGCACTTCCATTATTCAGACTCCTGTTTGGCGATGTTTCATGTGCACCCTTGAAAATATATCACATTGTTATACAGCTGTTTTCAAAAGAAGGTTGGTAAAGGTTTTGTTTCTTGTAGCATATTGAATTCCAAATGTAACACTATATCTGCTATGGGCGACGTGAATGTAATCAGCCAATTGTCACAACAATATTAACTTTTCTTTTTTCCTGCAGCACTAGCTATTTTCTTCTGTGTTAACGATATCTACATATGAATACAATGCATTTCACCTTGGCTGCAACAAACAACATGCAACGTGCAATATGGAGCATGCTACAAGCATGCAAGAAGACCTTAATCAATCTTTTTGGGGGGGGAGCTATATTAGCGATGTATAAAGCTTTTAAGATTTTACGCTTGAAAAATGTCATAAAGAGTTTGGACATAAGACTATTTACACAGAATAAACATTTTTATCGTGATGGAATACCTCTGCATCAGCACTCTTTAAAACTTTAGGAGGTCCAAACCTATGAAATATGAATTAGAATATTAGATCATAGTACAAAAGATAGGCAAAAATGTCTAGAGATCATAACTACTTGTAAACTCATAGGGAGATGTACCATCAAATAACTGCATATACCTTACTATTTCTTTACCATTCCCTGCAACTATAAGAAACAAAAAAGATTTCGTCAAAGGCTATCAATTGCTACAGGACACTGTATACTACGCAGTGCTATCATATGCAGGTATACTAAACTAACAAAAGCCACAATTTTTACACTTCTCAATTGAATCTAACTTACAGGGCTTCGAAGTGGCGCGCGCGAATCTCCGATTCGTCGTTACAGTTTGTCAATGGGACAAATCCGCTTCTCAACCCGCTTGGAATGGTTGAAGCGTTTGATTATGCCTGATCGATCAGTTCGTATACTGATTAATGCATAGTTTACCTACCTCTATAGCGATTTCTATGCATTTTCAGGCATATGTAAATTATMAGCAGAATATTTACTAGCACTGATATGCACGTTACCGTCAGCAAGACTATCATGAATGTTTTGCCTATGAGTTAAATAATTAAAACACCAGAATTAATTAACAAACTGATAAAGACTGGATGCATATAGATGGATGGATGGATGGATGGATGGATGGATGGATGGATGGATGGATGGATGGATGGATGGATGCTATGGATGTATTAGTTCATATTCTCTAAGTAGATCGATAAATTAGTAATATCCTTAAAATTAACATATCAATTTAAGKGATTTTTTTCATTACTATTCATGATGCCTTGTAGCGTGTCAACATCCTCCAGCTGTACTTTATTCCCGTCTTGTGTCATATCTGTCATGTTGGTACGATCAGAAAGTAAAACAAAAAGGAAAATCAAATAAAAAAGAAAGTGAATGAGCTTTTTTAAGACAATATTACTATTACTTTTTACTGTGCTCCTTTTGAGCAGTTCGCTGTGAAACTCAAGGCTATGAGGCCTAAAGTTGTTAAACTGGAATATCTACGATAATTCTCCAAAATTTAGAGTATTCAAGGAATAGTATTATATAACAATTTGGACGTTGTTTTTTTTTTTCTTTTTTGCAAAAGGCGCCCCAATAAAGAGCCTAGGCGAAACTTGTGACGATTCTCATAAATCATTTTTGTTTCGTGTTTATACCTTACGACAGGCTTTGATGATTCTCTCCGGAAATTTAAAGTTACTGCCGAATTATTGAGGTAATATTCAATATCGCAACAGAATACTTTAAAATTCGCGGGATCGTTTAGCCGGTTTGGCAAATTGAGAAATGTAAGAGATTAAATATAATGTGTGACAATGCTTATTTTGATGGCAATAAATACCCACTTGAATTTGGTTCGGCTGAAGGTGTAATGCAATCACCTGGAACGAAAGAAGATTAGTTACTATAAACTAAGCTACCAGTTTCTTACAATTTGATGCCCAACATCAAAATTGACCATGAGTAAGTGGCCTTTCACATGCAAACGTGAAATTTACTCTGTCATAAAAAGACACGTCATATATAAGCAGTATACTTAGTCCAAATTGGGGCAAAACGTATTCCTCTTTTTTTTACTTACACATCACTGTCACTTCTGTCAATGCAGATATATTTGTAGCTCCTATGATGTTGYTAAAAGCACTACATTCATATGTACCGTTATCGTCTTGTGTAATTCTCGAGAAACGTAGATTAGCTCCTACTTTCCCGTGACTTTTTAACACTTTCGATCCATTGAGTAAATGAAACCAAGTGACGTTTTGGAAAAGGTTGCCAGCTGAGCAGTTTAATCCCAAATACATGCCCTCGATAACAAAGTTATTTTTAGGAGGGATGGATGAAAACTTTGCTGAAAGTGAAATACAATTAATTTCAATTTTGTATGCGTTTTGAAAAGTCCGTTTGTTTGTTTGTTTGTTTTCATTTGTTGATAGCTATAATTGTGTGTGTGTGTGTGTGTGTATTTTTTTTCTGTTCCCTCTCCATTTCGTCTGTTTTCCTTTTTTGATTGTTTCTGTATTTCTTTCAATATTATAAAACCACAAGATAGTACCTGTATGGCCTATGATACGGAAATCTTCGCCTTTTCAAAGTTGTAGAAATACGGTTCATTATGGGGCTTTGAGGGAGGCTTTATCAAGTCATTAAGATGTAAAATAATACTGAGAATTAACCCGATAATAAAGATTTTCTATCACTTTTCTTTCGCTTTTTACTACTATCAGCAAGGGAAAAAGAAGGCCATATAAGTAATAAAAAGGCCCCTAAAAATCCCCGTGACGCAACGAGCGCTGCGACTCAGGAACGGCCGGTTATTTTTTTATTTTTTTTCTTTTGGTTGACACTGGTGGCTTACCTATGACGACTATTTGTGTTAATGCTTCAATTGGACTTTCATTTGGGTTGTTATTAGCTTGGCATTTGTACATTCCGCTGCATCTTCTTGTTATGTTGGTTACTTGTAGGAAAACGAACCCCCATCCTTTGCTCTTGACAACGGTTTTATTAGCAATTATTCTCACCCATGTCACATTTGGCTTTGGGAAACCATGAGCTGAGCATGGGATGCTTAGGTCACCACTTTCGTTAACTGCTTTCTTCAATGGTGGTTTGATAGTAAAGGAAGGAATAGCTAAAACAAATCAATAAGCATTTGAAAATAAGTGACTTTGTAAAGTCAAATAAATTTCTCAATACATTGATACAAACATGTATTTCAATTTCCCGAATTCCTGAAAATAATATCATTCTCACTAAATAGTACTGATTACGACGATAAAAAGAATGCGTAAGGAAAGGGAAAAAAATCAACTTCAAAAACAGTTCTGAACCTTTAGTTATGCTTAATTAGATATTATTATCATCATTTTCATCAATGTTATTATGTAACCAGAGGTTGGAAAATATTATTCAATGTTTAAGAAATGAAAGTTTCATTTTCAGTAATTATACAAAAACAAGCCATCTTAATTTGAAAAAAAAAAAAAAGAATAAATAAATACACATGCATGGATACAAATGTACCAACATTAGCATTAGCATTAGTCTGGTTGTTTATCAAAATGAGTCCATAGCGTTTTATTTTCTGAACTATATAGCTATCATCAATTTAATAAAATATTGTACATACTTGTAACGATAAGCTTCGCCTTTCTTGTCAGTGCTGAGGACATTTTTAGCACCAAGCTACAKCCATACACTCCACTGTCATCCGTAGTTACATTAGCAATGACCAAAGTAGCGCTTGACTCCTTGCTTACTCGATTCACCAGTCTCTCAGGGCATGTGTCTTTATGTAAGGCCCATTGCCAGCCGTAATTCGAATCTTCGCTTCCAATAGGTAGCACTGTTCCATCGTTTTGATAATAATCCCAACGGGGTGAATTCACTTCAAACTCATTGTTTCGATTGTCTACTTGATATTCCCACWCAAGCCTCACAGTTTGCCCTTGGACGGCATAACTCTCTGGTAGTGGGGTTTTGGTAAAACTAGCTTTACCTAACAAAATATTTTGCAGTTCAACTTATTTCATCATTGGTTAATACCACAGTTATGTTCAGAAGAAATTGAAAACAAAGAAGGCTACCTACCAGTAGAGTATTGGATCCAAAATGAAAACTCTAAAAAGGCTGTTAATATGTTTTTTCTGTATATCATGTCAATTGTTTTCGAAGTAATATTTGCTAGTTAGTTGTGAATGTATGTTTTTGTCGCAATGGAAAATGATACAGAAACTAAAATTAATCATGAAACTAAAATAAGAAAGATACTACCTTACGTAGCAATCAAGACTTTTTACTTTATTTGACTGAATTCCGAAAGAAAATAAAGAAAATATATTAATTATTATAAAAGATGAAGAAAAGCAAATATTGGGGAAAAACAAAAGAAATAGAAAAAAAAAAAAAAAAAAAAAAAAAAAAAAAA